GCACAGTGGCTCATGCCTGTAATCCCAACACTTTGGGAGGTTGAGGCAGGAGGATTGCTTGAGTCCAGGAGTTTGAGACCAGCCTAGAAAACATAGCTAGACTCAGTCTCTACACAAAATTTAAAAATTATTAATAGCTGGGCATAGTGGGGTGCACCTGTAGTCCCAGCTACTCAGGAGGCTGAGGTGAGAGGATCGCTCGAGCCCAGGAGTTTGAGACTTCAGTGAGCTATAATTGCACTGTGCGCTCCACTCTGGGCGACAGAGCAAGACCTTGTCTAAAAAATAAAAAATAAAAAGAGTGCAGAGGGTGAGCTTATCAAGGTTCACATCTGAACTCTACCATTTGTTCTCTGCAGGACCTTGAGCAAATTAACCTCTTTGTAACTCAGTCTCCTCTTTGGTAAGAAAGCGATAGTAATAGTATCTGCCTCATTGGATTGTTATGAATAGGAAATGAATTGCCATTTACCATTTTAGAACAGTGCCTGGCACAAAATAAGTGCTGTATATGTGGAGACAGATCTAGAAGCTGTCTCCATTTAGGTCATCTTGAATGGAAAGATATCTAATTACTCACCTCTGTGTGTTTGCTGCTATTTTAAAAGCTTGTAGACCCTTAAAGTTTTACAACATCAACCAATATTTTATTGATTGCAAAGTAGTGGGTGGCCTACTACCAGTGGCTACCAGTATCAGTCACTGGAGTCTGGTATGTGCATGTGTATGTACACATACGTGTGTATGATTTGAGAATAGGGTGTGGTATGTGGCTTCCACCAGTATAAAGAAGCACGAGAATTACTTAAACCCGGGAAGCAGAGGTTGCAGTGAGCTGAGATCATGCCACTGCACTTCAGCCTGGGCCACAGAGCAAGGCTCCATCTCGGAAAAGAAAAAAAAAAAATAGAAGTAGAAAAGCAGTGTGCAATATTCTGCAGAATTGAGGAATCCATATAAAAGTACCATCCTCTAGCTGTTTGCTTGCTACCCCAGGGATCCCACTGGTGCTACACATTCCCCAGATGGCAATGCCAACTCTGTCTGCTCATCCTGTATTACTAGCAAGGCTCTGTTCCTCAGTGAATTTCCTTTCTATTCATTTTCAAATGACTTTTCTGATATGAGCATTGTTGAATATGCACAAGAAAGAGCAAGACAGAGGCAGAGTTATGTGTATGGATAGATTTGCATAAGTATAAATACAGTATATGTGCCCATATTTAAATGATATAATGATAATATTGTGTTGCTATCTCAGAGTGAAAGCTAATTAATTCAACTATTGATATGATAATGATTTCTTTTTCAGTTAATACCAGAGTCAAAAAACCCTGCAGAATGATTCCACGCACTGTTCCTTTGACTCATCTTGGAAGAAAGAGTTTTATTCTGTTAACTATTAAGCTGTCTATCAGTATCTATGACAGTTTTAAAGGAAATCATTCCTGGGAGGGGCAGAAGATTATTAGTAGGAAGGCTGACTCATGTAGGCTCAAGAGGACATTGAGGTCATGATTTGGTACCAGGAAAGAAAAAGTCCTCTTTTTGCTTTTAGTCTCTTAAAATGCATGCTTTGGTATTTGCACTCTCAATATCAACACTGATCTGCAGCACAAAGTCTTTTTTTAGACTTTATTTGGTTGGATTTGACATTTAGGAAAATGTTAAGATCTCTCCTACTGAAATTTACACCATCTGAAAAATTCACAAGCAAGTCCGTGACTTTCTTAACCTTGACATCTCTAACTTTTCCTTCAGCCTCTGTTTTCATATTTCACGAGTTACCAAAGCCTGATATTCTCTCTGTTTCCTCTTTTCTATTCTGTCCCACTTTAGTTCAGACATTGGTAGCCTCTCAGTTGTATTATGGCAATAGTCTCCTGTCTCTAGTCTCCAATACCCATTTCACCTTTCTTTACCTTGCTCCAAGGAGCTTCCCAACATACAGGTTAGGTCATACTCTCCCCTGTCAAAGCCTTTAATGGCTTTCCTCTTTCAACATGGTAAAGACTCAACTCCTTTGCTTGGTATTCAAGGACACTTCATCAGATTCTGTTCCTACTACAACTGCTTACCCGTCTCCCACTAATTCTCTCCATACTCTACCCTACTGCCACCAAGACGGAGTATCCACCCTTTCTTGGAATTTTCATAACACCCTGTTTGTTCATTTTTCTGAATGTCTTTCCTCCCTCATGGTCCATGTTTCTAAAACCTTACTTATTCTTCAAGGCCCAAATCAAATTCTATTTCCTTCACGGACCTCTCCCTTATTCTGGCTACTCTTAATTAATCAGGATGACTCCCAGTCTATGCAATGCCTTTTCTTCGAGGCACTTGACTTCTAGCAGTTAGGAAATCGTCATATTATACTTACCTTGTTAGAACAATTTTTAAGTGCCTTCTGCTGGAAAATTGTCATAAGAAATATGCAGCTCTACATGGGTGCAATGTAATTGCTGCCTCTCCTCCTTAAATGTGGCACAATCTTTACAAGCATATGGTGTGGACCTGCTTCTACATTTCAATAATTTATTCCTTGTTTAGCTATCTTATTACTCATATTTTGTATTATGCTGTAAATTTACTTCTGTTTATTCCAACTAAGTATGCAACTCTGAAGACAAGGAATGTCTTATTCATCTTGGTATTTCCCAGGTCAGAGAATGCAGCTTTCAGATAGTTTTTACTTAACAGTAAATTATTTTACTCTCTTATGACCCAAGGGTGGTAATTGCAAGACAGTGGTTAAGAGTACAGGCTTTAGTGCATGACTGCCTGGGTTTGAACCTTCCTAGCCAACTACTAACCATGTGATCATGGCCAAGGTACTTAAACTCTCTGTGCCTTTTTTCTTCATCTGTGATATGGGGACAAATAATACTATCTTCATCATAAAATTGATATGACAATTAAATCAGTAAATGGAGGTAAAGTTGTTCAAACAATAGCTACTAAGTGCTTAATAAATGTTAGATATTATTCCAACAGTCTGTTAAAATAAGAAGGACTCCTCTCAGTTTTGATAGAGACATGAAGACACTAGATGCTACATTCCAAGGTGAGCCCATCTGGCAGAAATTTCACAGTGGATATTCAAGAACCAGTTAAACATGTCACTTATTTTGAGAGAATGAAGAGATCAGGAGTTGGAAATTACAGAGAGGTCTTGTAAAGATTTTGGAGCATGTGACTAGTGTGCTGTGTGAATCTTACATCCCTACTACAAAGGAGAATGTTGGAAGTGGGAGTGTCTGTCCCTCGGGCCACCACTGGAACGTGTAGTAACTTTTTGAGGATTGGAAAATGGTGTCCCCTTGTGTCCCCAAAATGTATACTGAAGAGGTCCTATTGCTTCAAGCCCAATGAAAGAGTCTTCAAGATGATTACTTGAGTAGGTTGACATGTATCCCCTGAAGCTGATAGACATGGGGACTTTGTGTCTCACTTTCACCTGAGAAGTTGAAAGGCAGGAAGCTGGGTGGCTGACTGCTCCTGGATAAGTGGGAGAGATTTCTCTGCTCCACAGAGATTGCTAGATCAGAGAAAGCTATTATGGGGTTATCTTAGGTCCATGTCAAGAGAACCACAAGGAGTGACCTCAGTGTAAAAATCGTGGAGTGAATCGCCAAATTCCTAGATGTTGAAGGAGACACATACCATGGGCTAGAATAGAGATGTATTTGCCCTCATCAAAAAAGTTCAGATGAGGCTGGGTGTGGTGGCTCATGCCTGTAATCCCAGCACTTTGGGAGGCTGAGGCGGGCAGATCATTTGAGGTCAGGAGTTTGAGACCAGCCTGGCAAACATGGTGAAACCCCATCTCTACTAAAAATACAAAAATTAGTGGGGCGTGGTGAGTGGCACTTTTCATCCCAGCTGCTCCAGAGGGTGAGACAGGAGAATCGCTTGAACCCGGAAGGCAGAGGCTGCATGAGCCGAGATTGTGCCACTGCACTCTAGCCTGGGTGATAGAGTGAGACTCTGTCTCAAAAAACAAAAAACAAAAAACAAAGTTCAGATGAAAGTATCCCAAAGATGAGAAATCTCTAAAGAACCCAACCCAATGGAGAGTCAACTTTGAAAACTTGCTACACACAAACCGGCTTACAGCAACACTAGTCCAGTAACTGCCTTCCTGTCATTTCTTCTCTTACCTCTCTCACAGTCCTCTCCCTATTCGACACTGCCTCCTTGACTCTGAAAGTGTCAGGAACTATGGTTAGTTAGATGGAGGAGAAAGCAGAAAGTGGGGAAATGGAGCAGCAGAGTTGAAGCCGGTTACCTCCCTTTTTCACTCTAGGCATCTTACCTGCTAATAGGCTGCAGCTGTGCTATGCCTTCTTGGGGGAGATGTTTGCTTTTAGCTCAAGGTTGGCATTTTTATTATTATGCCAGGCTGGCATATAAAGTACTGAATTGAAACCTTGAATGCCATTTTCTCCCTGAATGCCTGGTTAACAGCAACTCACTTTCCAAAACTTAGCTCAATGCTCACTTCCTATCCTGACCTCTTTATCCCAAACTGAGGAGTCTGTGTGTTTGCTCTGCCGCCATGCAGTTTTTAGAGCCCAGACAACATGTAATTCCACTTGTTTCGTTGTTTGTGTGTCTTTGTCCTCAGCCAACCTTTAAACTCTCGGAGCCCAGGGGTGAATTGTTTGTCTTTGTACCCTTGGCACTTAGTGCTCAGTGGCATAGAATTGTCCCCCAATAAAGATCTATGAAAGTAATTTATCTTAGAAAACAAATTCACATTTTTCCTAAGAGAGGCTGTAATTCAAACTTGTCTTTATTTCTGAAAGATAAATTAAAAACAACAGCCTTCTCGACAACACAATGTCATATAAAGTATTTGTCACTGGTGTGCTCAAGGGTGGCCTGGGTGCTCTTTAGCAGTTTGTGAGAAAATGTCCTGGCATCTCTCAATCCATACCTGTGTTTTTCCTGAGAAGCTGTAAGAGGACTTTTTACACTTTTCAGTGTTTCTCCCACAGGTTTCTTCAGGAGAAGCATTACCAAAAATGCCGTGTACAAGTGTAAAAACGGGGGCAACTGTGTGATGGATATGTACATGAGAAGAAAGTGTCAAGAGTGTCGACTAAGGAAATGCAAAGAGATGGGAATGTTGGCTGAATGTATGTATACAGGTATTCACTTCAAGCAATTACATTTCACTAAAAATCTCTTAAGGAGGCAGATGTCAGGTAACTCATCACGACAGTGCTACTTCACATATTAAAGAAGGAACCTACTAAGCCATCTAAGTTCTTGAAAAGGGTAATGAACCACTGAAATTGTCCAAACTGTCAACTAAAGAGCATTTTAGTCACCCAAAAGAAATGTCTGGTTTTTTTGTTGTTGTTGTTGTTGTTCTTTGTCGCAGTGAACTATACATGGAGCCCAGTGGCATTAGTGTACCATTCAAGTAATGTGCTTTAATGAGCTACGAATGACAGTCTAAAAGTTTCCTCTAAATTTGATTTTAATATACTTATTATGTATTGCTTAATTAGCATACAAATTCACTATTGTGGAAAAAAATAAGAGTGCTTTATAAGGTATAACTGCCTCTGAATTGTCTAAATAGAGTTTTAAACCAAGTCATTTTATTAAGAATCTGTCTTCTCTTAGTGCAGCTTTGAACCAATTTGTATAGGTTTACACCGGAAATTAACTACTCCCAGTTTTAATATAATTTTGTCCTTCTATCTGATAAGGAGACACTGTATTAAACTGCTGGCTTTGTGAGGAACTATAATCTTCATCAAAAATTGGAATGCATGCTAGTATATAACATAATTAATTTTTCATTCTGCAAATTCTACAGACCACTCAGATTCTGAGATATGTCCTGTTTCTCCTCAAAACACAAATAGACAAACAAATGTCACCAAGGGGATGATAGCATTCAGGCAGGGAATGCCACATGAAATAAAAGCCTTCAGAAGGTGACTCCAGTTCTATTGTTACCAAACTGTACTGGCAACTGGGATGGACCCAGGGAAATAATGCGTGTCGGTTGGGGGAAAATAGGTCTGTGTAAATAATCCAGCTCTGGGTGGATGAAAGTTTTATAGCAGCTGATCACAATCTCATCTTAGCATGCATGAAACGAGAGCCTGCAATAGGGGCTGCTGCTGGAATCCAATCTCACAATGGAAACACTTATTCTGACACTGCGCAGCTCATATTGCTCATCACTTAGATATGAACTTGTTCCAGCTGGAGCTCTGAGGACATTTTGCATGAAGCCACATATAGCAATCTATAATATTTACGAACACAAACTCGTCCAGTAACAGATGCAGATATTTCATGGTTCTATAAAATAAATTCCCTGTACAAAGAAATTCCTGGAACTTTGTTTTATTGGCATTGAGAGAAGAGTAAGGACGTTAAATGGGATGAAGGGAAGATTGTTTTACATTATTTTTAATAGCTCCCTTTAAGTGTAAATCAATGAGGTTGATTGATCATTCAAAGACATTTTTAAAGTCATCTTGTATTATTTTTATTTTTAACTATATTCTCGGGAATTGGTACTGTTCTCAAAATTAACAGGATTTAAAAAATATCCCTAAAGGATGCTAACATTTATTTTTCTCAATAAGTTTATATATGTTTAATGTGAAATTCAATATCCTTCTTCTGGTACAATATGTAAACATGGCTGAAAATAATATTAATGGCATGTTTTAAAACACCAATTTTCATGGTCCCCTAGAGCAGGAACAGGGAGAGTGTCATTCACCTTTTCATTGACTGAATCCCTTGCATTTGTACAATGCTTTCGTATCACAAGTTCTTTATATAAAGCCCATTTAAAAATGATCTGATTGCTTTTAATCTACACAAAACTCTATAAGGTAGATATTATTCCCATTTTACAAATGAGGAAACTGAGATTCACAGAGGTTAAACTACTTGTTCAAGATTCAGTCTCAAACCTTGGCCTTCCCTTTTTAAAATGCATAAAGGGCTAGCATTAGTTCTGTGTCATTGCATAGGGGATCTTCTGGGCCAGGTACATATCAGTGGTTTTATGACCACACACCCAACAGTACTTTCTGTGATTGGTGAAGTCTCTATGCTTATTTATTTTAGGCTTGTTAACCGAAATTCAGTGTAAATCTAAGCGACTGAGAAAAAATGTGAAGCAGCATGCAGATCAGACCATGAATGAAGACAGTCAAGGTCGTGACTTGCGACAAGTGACCTCGACAACCAAGTCATGCAGGGTAATAATATGCAATGGTGTCTGCCAAGACTGGCAGGAACTGAGTTTCTAGGTACATAGTGAGCTGGCCAGGAGGCTTTCAAATTAAAGCCACAGGCACAGCTGAATTTCTAGTCCAATTGTTCATTAAAATGGATTCCTAATACATACTTCAATGTAAACATTCAAATAATAGCAGTGCATAAACTAAAAAGTGAAAGTTTTCCTTCTCTCTGACTCCATTCCAGTCCTACTACCTAGTGTTTGCCAGCAGGAATGATTTGGTGTATAAAATGGATTTTTTTCCACTGAGTATTGACCATTTTTTCCCTCTTTTTGAGAAGAAAGGCTCAAACTGGGAAGAATGTGGTCTCAATAGAGGCTATGGATTAATCCTTATAAATGAGTAAAACAGGGTGAATACACATGTGTGGACCCATAGAGAAAAGTGCTACACACTGAGGTCACAAATTTCTCAAGAAATCCATTGAACAACTCAGGACAAAATAGGGGAACATCATCCAAGATGTTTAGACAAACACATTGTGAGAATGCACAGGACATTTGATGGAATTTTGTTTTGCCATTAACTGAAAAACCAATAAGCTATGATTGTCCAAACCATACCCTTCTCAATATTTATTCATTATTGACAAAACTTTATCCACATTTAGTTTTATAAGTCCATAATTTTATATTTATTTAAGAAAAAGTATTTTATATGAAAGCATTATTTTGCCATAGTGCTTCGTCAGTAACACTTTGGTATAAGAAAGCAAAGAGTTGACATAATTATTCACACTCTTCAAAAGATGCTGTAGAGGGAGAAGGAGATGTTTGGGGTCTGAATTGTCCAGATTATTGACTCTCTATTTTAGAGGTTGACAAACATTTTTCTTTAAAGAGCTTTGCCCACATAGTATCTACAACAACTACTCAACTCTACCATTTTAGTGCAAAAGTAGCACAGACAACACATAAACAAATGAGTGTGGCTGTGTTACAATCCAATGGATTTGGTCCATGGACCACAGTTTGTTGATCCCTCCTCCACATGAGTACTCTTAGATGATTTCTCCAAGTGGAATTCATGTTGAATACCATATGAATGTAGTATTCATAGTAGTCATACTATGTGAGAACCTTTCATTAGTTATAATTAAAGCTTGAACTTTCAGTGACCTTCAATATGAATGGGCTCACTAGTCTTCATATCCAGACTACCATTTATTCCTAAGAAATACACAAGTGGAATATTTTGTTATTCATATTTTATAGATGGGAAAATACAGTGAAATGTGATATGGCTTGCCCGAGGACCCAGAGAAAGAAATTATACACTCTATTAGAGCTCATAATTCCTGCTGTATTTATGGCTTTTTTTAAAAAATAATTTCTGCTATTAGTTCCCTCCAGATGAATGCCCATATAGAAAGAAGGCTTTATACACAACTTCCCTAACACCTTTTATTTTCTTGCCAGTGTAGGAGAAAACTGAACTCACCCCAGATCAACAGAATCTTCTACATTATATTATGGATTCATATAGCAAACAGAAGATGCCTCAGGAAATAACAAATAAAATTGTATGTATAATATCTGAAAATATGTGGGTTTAATGTTAATATTTCCTGGAGATTTTACTGCCTTGAAGGTATAATTCATATGTGAATATGTTACTTTGAAATGATTAGAGCTGAGAATTCAAGTTAGACTTTTAAACTCTTAGCAACATTAAACAATTCAAGAGTAAGAAGTCTCCCATCTATCTTGATAATTGCCCTCCAAAGATCTGAGAAACAGTAAGATGGGTTTTCAAATTTTATCATCTAAATCTAGTTTTTCTTTAGTCTAATGGTTTTATATTATCGTTTTCTTATCTACTTATTAATCTTTTTTTTTCTTAAAATTTAGTTAAAAGAAGAATTCAGTGCAGAAGAAAATTTTCTCATTTTAACGGAAATGGCAACCAATCATGTACAAGTTCTTGTAGAATTCACAAAAAAGCTACCAGGTATTTTTTAAATAATCAAAGTTAATATTTATTGAGAATTTAAATATGCGCTTACAGATTAGATTACCTGTTTTACACACGGTGTTTTATTTTTCAAAACATTCCTGTGAGATCAGCTCTATTTTCAGTATTACTTTGCCAAGTATTTTCACATGTACTTATTTCACTGCTATTCTCTGCAATAGTCTTGTGACATTGAGAAAGGCAGGTCTGTTCTTTGTAAAATGAAAATAATCTAATATCTGATTTAAACTAACAAGTCTAACTACTATAGACATAAGATATTAGAACTGGAAAGGATATTTAAAATAATGTATAATAACTCTTCGAAATCAGTAGATTAAAAATTGAAACTTTGCAAGGTTGTCATTCACCCATTTATTCCTTCAGGAAGCAGTTGTTGATACCTACTCTATACTAAGTGCCTGACTGTTACCTTCAGGGAGAGTGGTCAAAGGTGATAATAATAATAATAATAAATACACATACATACACATACATACAAAGTGCTGTTTGAACAGAGAGTTGCTAATTGTGTCTAGGAAAGATGGAGAGACTTCAGGGAGGATCATATTTGAGTTGAGTCTAAAAGAAAAAGAAGTTTTCCAGTTGGCATGGAGAAGAAGCGGCATTCCAAGATGAGAGATCTGCTTGTTTTTTTGTTTTTGTTTTGTTTTGTTTGAGATGGAGTCTCGCTCTATTGCCCAGGCTGCAGTACAATGGCATGATCTTGGCTCACCGCAACCTCTGCTTCCCTAGTTGAAGCAATTCTCCTACCTCAGTCTCCTGAGTAGCTGGACTACAGGCACATGCCACCACGCCCAGCTAATTTTTGTATTTTTAGTAGAGATGGGATTTCACCATACTGGACAGGCTGGATTCGAACTCCTGACCTCAAATGACCTGCCTGCCTTGACCAAAGTGCTGGGATTACAGGAGTGAGCCACCATGCCTGGCCGAGAGATCTGCTTGTTAAAAGACACTGAGGCATACAAGAATAGGATTATTCGAGGTGGGAGAGAAAATTCAGTGTGGTAATAGCATAGTGTCTGTGGTGGGCTCCTAGGTTAGACAATAAGGTAAGTTGGTACCAGACTGATGAAGGCCTAACTAAGGAATTTAATCTGTGTCCCCTGGATAGTAAAGAGATTTTGGTGGTTTTTGTAACAGAGGGAAATGATGAAGTTTTTGTTATACAGAAATGACTTAATCAGGTTCATGTAAGATGAATTTGAATGGAAACGGCCTGGGGGCAGGGAAGATCAGGTAGTATGCTACTGCACAAGTCCAGGCAACAGGGCTTGAAATAAAGCAATAGCAGTGGGGAAGAGAAGAAGAAACAAAAAGAAGAGAGATTCAAAAACTGATAGGGCTTGAGGAACAGTTGTATGTGTAAGGTGAGGGAGAGGGACTTAACTTAACCACACTCATTCTGATGGTGCCAGTATAGAAACTAGAATGTGGGAGTCTTCTTATATCCTAGCCTCAAATTCTTTTTGCCACATCATCAATGCTATCTAAGCTAATGGATTTTAGTTGTTTCAATGTTTATGAAAATATTGGTGTATTGAAATCCCATGGTCTAGAAGAGTATAATAAATACCTTGTATAGCAGCATAATACTATAATATTAAATTACAGAAGATAACTTCCGATATAGGATGTTAATTAAACATGTTAATTTGCCTTCTTTTTGCCATCATTATGCTATTATTTTATTAAATGTGTCACAGATAGACATAAGCCTACATAAAACTCATAAAGTGTGAGGAGAAAGTTCTCACTATCATTGAAACACTACTATGCTGTCATTTCTTTATTAACAATGAAAGAGGAACTTAATTTACTATATGCTAATTAAATGGAAGACAGTATCAATAAAAAACTGGATGACATAAAAGTAAAAACTGTGGGGGAAAGAACTGGACAAGGGAGATGTTTTTGGTTATTTATGGGAAGAGATTTTGTAAGTTCACATGGTCACTTGGTCTTGAATCAAGAAATAATTGAAGACAAATAAAAACCTTATTCATAAGAAGGTAGCTTATCTGAAAGCAATAGTAACATCTTAGCATCTCTTAATTCCCAGTGCCTAGCTTAATTCCTGAGGGAGTGAGTACAATTATGTGTGTTCAATGAGTAAAGCAGAAGGAAAAAATTTAAAATATGGAAGGAAATAAAAGGCAAAAGACCCTTGAGAAGGAAAAAAAATGGACAATAATGACAGAGATAGCATTATTACAAGTAGTAATAGTAGGGATATAGTACCAATACTGAAGGGATATTTTGTGAAAAACTGAATTGAATCATTCCATTCAGTATTCATTGAGCACACCCTGTGCAGGCACTGTCCAGGGTGCTGGAGTCCCTGAAAGCAGTAAGGCATGGCCCCTTTTCTCAAAGAAGCTCTTAGATTCTCTAGGATGGTGGCTCAGTCTTTAGCGTTGTTCTCCTCTCTATACTCCCTTTGCTATTTAGTTCTTCCTAAGCCATTTAGACCCTTATGGTGTTATCTCTATTTATGTGAGTATATGTGCCAGCATGCACATGAGCTTGTGTTTTGTTTCCCATTCATTCATTCATTCAATCCGTCAATTATCCAACAAATAATTCTTAGGTACCTGTTATGTGCCAGGAAACAGGGATACAAAAGAAAATAAAAACAAAGCCTCTACCTCCAAGAAATGTACACTCCAGTAGAGGTGGCAGATAATTAATGAATAAGCAAATAAATCTATAATATCATGTCAGGTGGTGATAAGTTCTATAAATTAAAATAAAGAAGGTAGATACTAGTAGTGGTGGGGAGTATACTTTAGATTGGGGAATACTGGAGCAGAGGCTTGATTGCAGGAGGGAGCGGGGCATGGGGCTTGGGGATATCTGGGAAGAACATTCATCTCTGAGGCAAAAAGAGGCTTGTGTGCTCACAGCAGGGTCAGGGGGTCAGTGTGGCTGGAACACAAAAAGTAGGGGGAATAAGGAGTAGAAAATGAGTTCAGAGAAGCTGTTGGGACTGTACCATATAAGCCTGGATAATGACTTTGAATTTTCCAGGCAGTGTTATATTTCATCAGGTTGGCAATTCTTACCATATTTTTCTGATTTTCCCCTACCCTGTGTGTTGCAGTACTAAGTTCAGAGCAGATACACCAATTTGACTTTGATTGGCTTTTTTTGGGGAAATACTACCCATTCTTTAGCTTGACTAAAGACTCATGAGTTAGCTAAATATTCTGGGTGCATATAAAGTTTTTTTCTGGCTTGTAGATGCTTCCAATCTGCAGAGTTGACCCTGTCACATCAGGTGTGACTAACATAATGGCTCAAAGAAAATCTGCCTGCATCTAGTTTCTGAGGGTTTCTTCATCTGAATCAGTGTATCTATGCCATAATATATGTATCTGCTTGGACTTGACATCTCCCTTTGCCCAGCTTGTTTAATAAATTCTGCTCAATGAAGGTAACAACCTCTATTTTGTTGGCGAGTACAAATGGACTCAACTAGACTACCCAATTGTAAAACAACTACAAAATCACTTGATGAAAATGTTTTATCAATGGCAATGATGGTTATCATAAAATATTGTTACTCCCTGATACTAATTTGATTATCATCATTACCTAGGATTTCAAACTTTGGACCATGAAGACCAGATTGCTTTGCTGAAAGGGTCTGCGGTTGAAGCTATGTTCCTTCGTTCAGCTGAGATTTTCAATAAGAAACTTCCGTCTGGTCATTCTGACTTATTGGAAGAAAGAATTCGAAATAGTGGTAAGTGATTTGGCTAATGGTAAAAGAGTTTGTTTCTATGAGTAAAATTGGTGTGCTCCATGAAGGCGGGGCTCTTGCCCATCTTACGCAATGTTATATGCCTGTTGTGCCTAGCATGAAGAATGACTCTAAAAAGATACATGTTAAATAATAAGACTTCTAGAGGCTTGGTTCAAATATCTCAATTGTGCGTAACGCCAAGATCACGGCCACTCGCACCGCAGCATAACGCAACAGAAGCAAGATTTCTGTCTCAAAAAAAAAAAAAAAAAAAAAAAAAAGTTAAACTTTGGTCGGCT